TTGAGTGAATTGAGCAGCTTGTTGTATGTCTATGATTTCTCTTAATTTTTGTACTTCAATGTTTTTGTCATGCAACTGTGTTATAGTAAGTTGGTACTTACTTTTCAGTCTGTTGCATTCTTCTTGTAAGTTTGATAGGGCATGAAGAAAGAAGTCCTCATTTTGAGTTTCTGATATACAGTCAGAAGAGAGATCAGACCATACCTGTTCACTTGCACTGACATCATCATTGCTGGAATTTAATCCCATGTAGGCAATTTCTTCAGATTCGTCTTCTGAGCTATAATCACTCCATGTTGCTGTCATGGCCTTCTCTTTCTTTTTGTTTAGTGGGCAGTTTGCCCTGATGTGACCTGTTTTTCCACATTTGAAGCAAATTGTGGAGTCAGATTTACTATCAGTGGAATTTTTTGCATCTTTAGGACCATTTTCCAGTCTGTTAGTTGCAAATGAGTTCTTATCATTTGAACTTCCAAAATGATGTCCTCCTATTCTAGGAGAATGATTAAACATGTTTCCAGAAGGTCTAGGAGAGTAGCCATTATTTTGACTTCCCCTTTTTGCATTTTGATTATGTTTATATTTCATCATTCTCTGGAGTTTTTTGCTGGTGAGAGCAAGTTCATTCTCGAACTCCTCATCCAGTTTATCTCCTTCATTTGCATATACAGAAGAAAATGCAATAGATTTGTTCTTTCTGTCATGAAGAGAGTTCATTTGCTTGAGAACTTCTTCATGACTGAGTAGAGATCCTATTAGGTTTTCTAGTGACAGAGTGTTAAGATCTTTAGCTTCCTCTATAGCTGTTCTTTTTGCCATCCACTCTAGAGGCAGAGATCTGAGAACTTTCCTCACTAATTCTTTGCTAGAGAATGTTTTTCCTAACCCTTTGAGTCGATTTACAAGAGTGGAGAATCTTTTATCCATTTCAGATATGGATTCCCCTGACAACATATCAAATGTTTCATATTCTTTAAGCAACAAGTCTATTCTAGTTTCTTTTACTTCTGAAGTTCCTTCATGAGTGGTTTCTAATATGCTCCATATCTCTTTGGCTGTTTCACATTTGTTAACACGTTCTCCTTCATCATCTGATATAGCAGACAGTAAAATATGCATAGCTCTAGAATCTAATTGAGCACTCTTCTTTTGTTCATTAGACCAATCCTCCTCATCGTCCTCTTTCATGTCAATTGGTCCATTTCGGACAATTGCCCACAATTCACAGTCGATTCCTCGGAGGTAGAGTCTCATTCTTTTCTTCCACACAGAATAATTTGACCCAGAAAACCAAGGAGGATTTGAACTAGTGGGAAATGAATTAGTAGACATGGCAAAACAGAGGATCTCCTACTCGGCAACAGAGGTTCCACGAGAAGGGGGCTCTGATACCAATTGTTATTATGCAATGTCTTGATTCATTCACACACAATTTGATCTACCACAGTTATTATTTAGTAATTGAACAATCTGAATAGAAGATTCAATTGATTCGGTTGAAAAGGGAGTTTCGCGTTTAACCCTAATTACTTAACAGAAACTAAGGAGGTCCTAATGACCAACAAACACACAAGAGGGAAGAAGAGCAAGAAAAGGGAGCCACGCCCAGTAAAACTAGAGTTCCTGGCTAAAAGCCCCAACCCTAGTTCCACCAGACACAAGAAAATCGAACCCAATCCAAGAGCTCCCAAAGAACACCTAAGTTCTTACTGAGTTTAGGGAAACCGTTACATCAATCTTCCTTTGTGACTCCTTTAAATAGACTTCTGATCCTCGCCTTAGCTCTCTCTCTTCTTTAATCTTCATGACCGTTGCCAGTGAAGGGAATGGTTTCCGATGTTACTGCAATTTTCCTCTTGGTGTTTTGATAGAAGAAGATGGAATGAAAGCGATGACGCCTTCTACAGTCTCGAAGTTGGCCGAGAATCATTCTGGGCTCATAGGCGTGGGCCTCTGTCTTAGTTTACTTCGAGACATTCGTGGGCCAGGGGCCCAATAGAAGCTTGCCTGCCAATTGCAGCCGAAGACGACAGACATAGTTGCAGATGCTGACGAGGGAAGCACAGAGTCTTTCCAGCCTAAGGTCGCAACTACGCAGAGCAGGGCGGGTAAAACCCGAACAACTAGGAATTCCCAAACCTGCCTATATATGAGGATGGATAATGATTTGGTATCCAAGGATCAATTCGGACGGGACGGGTAAAACCCGTGATGAGCCCACTTGCCATTTAATTCGGCCCATCCGTCGTTCAGCTCATACGCCCCAACCCAATCCACGATACCACGACTACGAGTAGTCACCGCCGATCAAGCTTGCCGTTGTAGGAGTAGCGGTTGGGATTTGATATGTTTGAATGAGTCACGCTTCGAGTTAGGAGTAGTAGTTATTAGTAGTTGTTAGTAGAGTCAATAAACCATTCCTCCACCAAAAGTGGAGCACGAACGAGCAGTAGTTAGAAAGGGGAAATTAGTTCCACCTAGATAGGACTTTTGGTTTTCATCGATCATGTATTTAAAGAAGAACAAAAGGAATAACAGGCAAGCAGAAATTTCACAAGTAAGAACCCTGGTTGTTCTAGCCAAGAAAGTAAAACACTTGCCCTCTCCTGCCAAGAAAAGGGAGATCTCTCACATTAAAACTTCTCACCCTATAAACCCACTTGTAGGTGCGGGCGATGATCGGAGAGCCACTATCCAGCTCCATACCCATCCGTTGCCATGCCTATGGCGGGAAGGGTTTGGTCACAATGGGGTGAGGAAAAAGAGATTATATGGTATGTTATTCTTTTTTAATTAAATTAATCTAAAGTTGATCTCGTCACTTTATTTTGATAATTTGATCATTATTTTTACATAGGTGGTAATAATTAATTAAAACAAACATTTTGATATAATTTTTCTTTTAATTCAGATATAATTATTTATCTCTAATTAAATATGGCATCATCAATTTATAGCCGTTGAAAAAAATATAGTCGTTGGTAGGCTATTTTATCCGTTGGAGGCAAAAAGCAAACAAACCAATTCATTTAATTAAATGAAAAATATAAAAATAGTATTTTTCTGTCCTGTTTTTGTCCTTTTCTTGAGGGTTTTGGAGGATTTTCCCAACTTTTTTTTCCTTTTCCCTTCTTTAATCCCACATCGTGGGCTTTTTACACAGATATTGTCATTTTTTTTTTATTTTACCACAGAAATAGTGATTTTAAAACAAATGACAAGAATATTGTGTTTTGATGGTAGAGAATCGACGAATCTGTGCTAGCTAAATACTTACCTTTTTTAATGCGAGTCCACGCGAGCTACGTAAAATAAAATACTTGCTCAAGGGTCTGGTTGTACGGATTTTTAAAAATTCTCGTGCATAGTCGCTTAGGCACCAGATTCGCTTGTTTTCCTTCCAACCAACTTTTTTAAATACTTATCTTTTCTAATGTGAGTCCGCACGAGCTAGGTACAATAAAATACACAACTACTCGCGCGTATTCGCTTGTTTTCCATCCCAATACGATTCTCTCAAACCACTATAAGAAGCAGTTACAGTATCGCTCGCCACAAAAAATATATATTACGAAGCGCTATTGATGGTTGCTGCAAAGATGGCTAGGTAAGAGACACATTTATTTATTTTACTTAGATTCTTAAAATGTTATTATGATTTTGTTTAGTTAGTAATTAGTGAATTTTTTTTTTAACGTAGTGATTTTAGACGATTTGAACTAATCGTTCAGTGGAAAGCGGAAAAAGTAGAGAACAATTTTGGCATCGATTTCGTTGGTGGTAGAAACTTTCGGTTGAAAGTTCCTTGCAGGGTGACTTATCACCAATTTTGTGAGAATCTAGTTCCGAGGATACGGCGTAATGACGAAACAGTACAAGATAGTGATATGATCACAGGTTTCACTTACAAACTTCCAAAATGGCAGAATGGTGTTCTGTTTCATTATTCGATTCCTATTGTGGATGATGATAGTTTGAATGTGTTTCCAATTTTATGGCACAAAAATCTTATTGTTTGGGTGTTGAGGTACATGCTGAGATTAGTCAGGGTGAAGATGAAACATGAAGTGTGTCATCTGATCATGACTGTAATAACGTAGAGTAAGACAAGGAGGAGGAGGAAGACCCTAATGATCCTCCAGATTATTACTTGCAGGGTAAGGAAGAGGATGGTGAATTATCATATGATGATTCATATGGCGTAATTCTAATATCTATTGTTGGTGGTTTGGAAGGAGAATTCTACAAGAGGCAGATATTTCACTCCAAACAAGCTGCACATTTGGCCATTAAATATCACACACTACAACGCAACTTTCAGTATGTCGTGATGGAGTCAACACCTTCAATCTGGAAGGTCAAAGGCTTGAAGCACAAGGATAACAATTGTGCTTGGATGATGCGGTTTGAATGTCGAAATGTTGGAAGCAAATGGAATGTGAGAAAGGCCGAGTTTATGCATTCTTGTAGCAGTACGACTCAACCGACGGATCATCGTCATCTTGGTGTCGACATTATATCTGAGTCCATGAAGCATTTGGTACGTGACCAACCAAATCTGAGTGTTCTAACTGTGCGGGCCGAGTTGAAAGATAAGTTTCATATGGAAGTTACTTACAAGAAGGCTTGGTATGGGAAACAAAGAGAATTAGAGAAGTTTCATGGAAATTGGGAAGAATCCTACGAGTATTTGCAAACGTTCTTGCGGGTGGTGAAGAGAAAAATGTCAACATAAGTGATTGATTGGGTAAGAATTCCTTCATCGCAACCAGGTCATTTGATCTTTCAGCGAGTACTCTGGGCTTATGGACCTTGTAGAGATGGATTCAAGAATTATCCAGGATGGTCGTTGATGGAACTTTTCTTACTGGAAAGAATAAAGGAGTGCTACTCATGGCAAGCTGTTAATGTCGGAAGAAGATTTTTCAAATTGCATTTACAATTGTGGAGAGTGAGAATATTGATAGTTGGCTATGGTTCATAAGACACCTTCAAGGTTTCATCGATTGAAATGATGTCTGCATCATCTCAGATAGGCATGCGGGACTCTAAGCCATGAATGGCATTGGAAGAGGTTGCGAGTGGAGGTGGTGCATTTGACACTATGCAAGCAACTTGCAAAGGAAGACTAAAATAAGATTATGTATAATCAATTGTTTCGAGCCGGTAAGTCTTCATTGTTATGGGCATTTATTGTTATGTATTATTTATTCTCATTTAATTTTGTCTTGAATATATCTAACTCATGTGGTTATTTATTGTGTTAACCGAAGAAAAATACTTGGAGAAGTTCGATAGTCAAGTTGAGCCATTTAAGAAAATTGTCGTTGATAGAAATGTTTCATGCAATAACTAGGTGGACCAAAATCAACTCCGTTGGAGTTTAGCATATGATAACCATAATGTTGGACATCGATGGTCTATCTTGACATTCAACATGTCAGAGAGCATCAATGGTGTTTTCAAAGGTATTTGTTCACTTTGTGTAACTTCTCTTGTGCAACGTACTTATTGGCGATTATTGGAGAAATTCGATTAAATGGGGTTGGAGATAGAAGCAAAAATTAGATATTGTCATTCATTTCATTCATAGTACACTTCCGGTTGCCGCTGCCGCGAGCTCGCCGTCCTCTCCCACGGCCCCATCCTCCTTCGACGATGACTTCCTCTTCGCCGGAATTGTGGCTGGAGTTCGTCATCCTTGCTCTCAGCTGTTACCGCTCGACAAGAAGAAGATGAAAACCATATCTGATTTGGTGGGCGGAAGGGACAAAGCTGCTATTTGTGGATCCGCGTGAGCAAGATGAGGGAAGAAGAAGACAACCTGCGGATCTGCCCGAGTGAAGAGGAGAAGGAGGTAAAGATTGGCGGAACCGCCCGAGCAGAGAATAAAAAAGGAAGGCCGGTGCGAGATTGGGTTTCTAGTGGGTGGTGGGGAGAAGACGAAGACGTGAAAATGAAGTACAATAGCAGAGCGAATCCGCGTGAGCCGTTTGTCCCTTTTTTCTAACTCGCACGGGTCTGCTACACTTTTAGTAAAGTAACTCACATGGAACTACTTAATTAGTCCTTTCAAACATAATATTCATGTAAATAGTTTTCAGACCGTTATATTTGTGATAAAATTGTATTAAAAAAAACAATCTTATGTCAATTACCCCTATATTGTTTTTCCTTCTTTCCCTCATATTGTGGGCATCTTTTCCTTTTTTCCCTACTTACCTAATGTAATCATCTATTATTCAAATCAATATATATATATAGTTCAGGCTAGCATGCGCCCGGGTGTACGTTAGGCTATCGTACGCCCGTTGAGTTTTACTATTTAGATCATGAATTAACCGGAGTTTTTGACATGATACTATACCCTAACCTCTAATGGATAAACCCCATTCCCTAATTTTCTAACCCAACTCATGAGATTTATTTAATCTTAAAAAGTAAATCAACAATAATTTTGACAAATCAAGACCGTTGATTTTCATTTCAAGATTAAATGAATATTATGCTTTGGATTAGTGAATTGGGGACTGGGGTTCACACATTAGGGGTTATGATATAATATCACGTCCCAAACTTCGGTTAATTCATTGTCTAAATAGCAAAACTCAATGGGCGTACGGTAGACTAAGGTACGCCCGGGCGTACGCTAGCCTTTGCCATATATATATATTTTTCTTTTATAATTAAAAAATTGTGGGTAGTCTTACCAAACGTTTAATAGATTATATGGGAGCTGGGCAAATGCCACATTTGGTCACTGGAATTACTAAATCATGTTATGTTTAGTCACTAGAAAAATTAATATCAATTTTTGTCACTCGAATTGCTAAAACAGGTCGGCTGATGCCAAGCTTAGAGCAGCCTGCTCCAATATGTTTTAGGTCCGGAGAGCGCTGATATCCCAAAGCCTTTAACCACCTCTAGCTCCGTGCGAATACCTAAAAAAAAGGTTCCATCGAGGGAGTCCTGGTTGGAACCTCCTTCGATGCCCAAATTAGTAACGTGAATGGAGTAAATACGATGACCTTAGACCTAGTTTGGTCCCGCGGTCGTAATTTAGCGTCGTCGGCTATTTAATGCCGCCCGGTGGAGACTATCCACGATTCCATGGCTTAGTCCGCCAAATTGAGGGTGTGTTGAGTGTTTAGTGATTTAACACGTTCTAGGAGATCGGAAGGAGAGATAAAATGTTTTTTAGAGAGAGAAAGAGAGGGATCCGAAGTGGTTTGAAATGTGTTGTGTCGAGGGACTTATATGTTGTGTTTAGAAAGGGGGAGGGGTGCTCCCTATTTATAGGAAAATGTCGTAGTTGAATTTCTTGACTTACGTCAATTTTCATCAACATTCTCCATTATTCTCCAATACTCGTCAATATTCATCGACATACCTTAATATTCTCCATTATATACTAACATTATCCATCAATTATGGTCTATGGGAAAGTTCAAGTGTGTATGAGAAAGTGTAGGTATTTAATGGAAAATAAAGGAATAGATAGGGAGAAAGTATAGGAAATGGTAGGAATGTGAGTAAACCTATATGCATGAACATGCATGGATGTGTATGTATATGAAAGAAAGAATGAGAAAGGAGACATGGGGAGATGGTCTTTGTGTCTTTCTCTTCTAGGGAAATATATATGGAAGGGAGGTGTGTGGCGTGATAGATGATAGAAACCTATTTCTAGGGTTCTATCGATAGTGTTGGTTGATTGGGAATTTAGGGATCTGGGGATTTGAGGATAGAATAAGGGATTGAGATTGAGGAATTAGGGAAGAGGAAGAATAGAAAGATAGAATCGGCCGAAGCCTTGGAAGGATTGGGGTCGAGAGATTAGAGGATATAGGATTAGGGTTTTGGGAGATACTTTCTGAATAATTTTTCTTGCTAGATTATAACGTAAACCCCAAGTACATATTTATAGCTAAAGAATGGAAAACCCTAATAGACTATCCTAATATGACTCAAAGACTACTAACCATATCCAGATAAATCCTAATAAATACTATTAATAATAGTTATGATATAACCCAGGAATTGGGTTTCTACCATCCCCTCCCCCTTGAGACCAACCTTGCCCTCAAGGTTACCTGACTCGACCCATTTCTTCATCCTATCTCCCGTGTAGGTCGCGCCTTGTCTCCTCCACTTCTTGCGCTTCCTTTTCTTCCAATCATGCTCCACTACTCGACTAGGGCTTCTAGCGTTGGCCTTCTTGTGCTTTTTGCCCCATTTTTTGAACTTCACTTCTATGGGTCCACTATTCGCTTCTTTTTCATATTCAAAATTAAATAGCTTCTCTTTTCTTGGCCTCACACCCGAATGAACTATGGAATCCAAAGATACTTCTTGGCACAAGAAGTTGTCTTTAAGAATCAACTCATCAAGGCCTTCAAAAAGTTTTATTGTAGAAAACCCATAAACTTGCCTTGATGTCTCTCTAATTGCTTTTGGGCTCTGTTTTCTCAAAAGCCCACCTACCAGCTCATTAAACCCACCATCTTCTTCATCCAAGTCCATTTTCTTTAAGAAACAGCCCACCATAAGCCTAATCCATTCTGAAGACTCAGCATATGAACAAGTTCGGCCCACATTTCTGTCAGGCTTGGCCCGCTCTGTAACTCTGTCTTCGGCCCATACTCAATTACTTGCTCAGCCCAAAGCAAGGGAGCAGCCTTAGGGTTTGCAAACGGAAGGGTGCCTCCCCCATTCACGCCGCCAGCTTCTTCTTCCCTCCGTCGCCGGTTCTTCCTTTCCCAGCGGCGATGGTCTCTTCAGGCGACGGAAAGACCAAATCAACCTGGCCTTCATCGCCTTCTGCTCCGTCTCCCAGAGCTCCGCTCCCATCTTCTCCGTTATTATTTCGGGCAATGCCGCCATTGGTTTTGCATGCTCGTCGGCCGGGGGCAGGGAACCGTCGCCATCCTCCTTCATTCTTCCACCCGACGATCCCATCTTCTCCTCGGCTTCCTCCGATAACTTCTTTGTCCCCGAAAGCTGCCCAGCTTTCTCCGCCATTCTCAGCCCCGACGGTGACCTCCTCATCTCGCTCTCCGGCGAGGTCTTTTTCCCCCGACGGCATCGAGGCGAGCTCCCCTCCACCATCAACTTCTCCTTGCTGATCGCCGAAGTCAGTCGGCGAACCACCCGATCGGACTCTCCCTCCGAATCAAATCCGCCATCGGCATCTTCCTTGTTTTCGCCTCCTTACCAATCGGCGCTAGCCTAGGATCACCCGTCGGCTGTCTCCTCCGCTGCTCTCCTCGAGGCTCTAACTGACCCACTCCAATTTGTTGCAATTGAGCTTCAAGGAATGGAAGGGAACACAGTGCCTGACAAGGGAGAGAGTGACCATCACCGCCATCTTTCTTCTTTCCCTCTTCCGGAAACTCCTTTGGCGGTCAATTGCTCACCAAGCCGCAGGTAGAAAAACTCGATCCAGCCACCATTGCTCTCCCTATCGACGACGTCCTGAGCGATCCTGCTGACGTCTTCAATGTCATCTCCATGCGGGCCTACCATTCGATATATGTCGTTATCACCCAACCCTTGACTGGTGCATTGACCAGTAATGACGAGGGTGAGGTAGAAAGAGTGGACGGCGCTATAACCACCCGTTTTTCCTCGTCGGATCTCAGTGTCTTCTTCCTGAACTTCCATCCGTCGGTTGGAAGGCCCCATAGAACTGGGTTTGGCTTGCTAGCGACCTGTTTGGCGAAGCTAATCTCAACATCGCGCTCCCATTGTCCTTCGCTATTGACGGTGTTGATCGTTGTTGAAGAGATCGAACCCACTACAGTTGTTGGAGCAGCTATTAGCTTCAGCTCAAGTGGAATCTCGGTCGTCATCTTCGCATCTTCCCTCTCTTTGGGGAGCTCTTTCTCGTTCATCGCAGATGGGCTGGATGCAGCCAAGAGCAGTGGCGATGGTGAAACAGCAGCGGCAGGGAAGAACGATGTGGCTGCAATCTCCTTCGGTGGCACTGGTTCGACCATCCCAGAAGCTGAGTTTTGCGGCTGCTCATTGGCGATGGCGCTTTGGGCGAGATCCGCAATCATCTCACGGAGTTCCGCAAACTGCTGAGAGATCGCTTGAGTGAGGTTGGCCTCAACTGTTGCCATCGCAGGAGGAAAGGTCTCAAAAGAGTGTATTGTCATCGTCGTAGAACTCGTTCCCGGTTGAGAGTTGTGACAAACTCGTATCCGGAACCGGGCTCTGATACCAGATGATAGAAACATATTTCTAGGGTTCTATCGATAATGTTGGTTGATTGGGAATTTATGGATTTGGCGATAGAATAAGGGATTGAGACTAAAAATTGGAGAAGAGGAAGAATAGAAAGATAGAATCGACCGAAGCCTTAGAAGGATTGGGGTCGAGAAATTAGAGGATAGAGGATTAGGGTTTTGGGAGATACTTTCTGAATAATTGTTCTTGCTTGATTATAACGTAAACTCCAAGTACATATTTATAGCTAAAGAATGGAAAATGCTAATAGCCTATCCTAATATGACTCAAACACTACTAAACATATCTAAATAAATCCTAATAAATACTATTAAAAATAATTATGATATAACCCAGGAATTGGGTTTCTATCAGAGGGAAAGGGAAGGAAGAATAAGAGAAGACTTAGAGTTAAGAGAGAATAAAATAAATCAATAATAATAAATAATGAGGTATAATAGATTAATTATTTAATCAAAATACCACAAGTGGAGTAAAATCCGGTATTTTAATAGGCAAGTCGAAGTAGGTGAATACTGGGTCCATCAAGGTAAATTTAGTCACTCACTCACTCTCCCGTTAGCCTCCGTCGAACTCCGGTCACTCGAATTACTTTTTTTTTATGAATGTCACTCGAAATACTAAAACATATCACATTTAGTCACTCTCACGTAGTCACGTTAATAATGGAGTTGGACGGAGGCTAACAGAGTGTAACTAAATGTGACTTGTTTCAGTAATTCAAGTGACCAAAATTGATATTAATTTTTTCTAGTGATCAAACATGACATGATTTAATAATCTCAATGACCCTATAACCCTATAGTAGCTATATGGATGGTTAGTTGGTCACATGAAAAACAAGCGCCTTGCAATTCAGCTTTTCTGTATCGAACGACCAAGGATCCTACTCATTTGACATAAACCAAATGGCATCGGTGAACGCCCATAGATAGAGCCTTTGCTCGGCTGGCTAATGTTTCAGTTCATGCAATTTGAACTTCAGCTGTACACCCCCAAAAAAGTGTATGAAGAGTTTTGCCTCCTTGTGATCGATATCAAGACTCCAATGGAACTGAATCAGACGGCAACAACTAACAAGAATTTGCACAGTTGTTTCCAGTATTTGCTCCACCGCTGAGTCATTGCTCCATCTGTGCGCTGCATCAGCAGCAATAAATGGAGATTCTGCTCAAGGCGATGCTTCCAGGGGTTCAGCAACTGACTAGGTAGGGTGGTCGGGAGATCAGAAAACTGTCAGTTATTTATAAGTCATAACACCTAAAGCTTTGATGAGGAATGCGTATTCATAAGCCGTATCATCGCACTGAGCATAGTAGCCACCTTCGCCAAAATGTCCACCGCTCATGTTCGCCTTCAGAATGACAGAACGAGAACAATTGGGGCAGGTTGTGTCTCGTACTTTCGCCACCCATTTGGCGGCTTCCCAAACTCCAACCCTGGAAAAGAGAATAACACATGACACTCACACCATGTTAGCATTGGTGTTCATCCAGCAAACAGGAAGTGAGGAAAAGGGCAAAGTGATCAGAGCTGTTTGCCTCGAGTCGTTGTATGATGCTGTAACGAGCACAGATGGCAGGCACGCCGATCGTGGAATGTTATCGTATGGAGAATAGCTACGAATGCACTCAAACTGCTTCTCTATATGGGGATTCCCAAATTCCTCATAGTCCAGTATGGTAAGAGACAAGCTTGGATCCATCAGTGAGTTGCATACATCCAAAAATGGAACCTGAAAAAATATATCTGAAAATATTATAAAGGAGGAGACGGAAAGGTCTCTATCTCCTATCAAACCAAAGCCTGGATTCAGAGTCTAACCTTCAAGATGGCAGCACAAAAAAGATCCGTCTTCATATTAATGGCTGCTCCGACCAGAAGTCCCCCAGCACTTGTACCTGTGGCACCAAGTTGGCCCTTATGTACATACCCTTTATCAATTAGGAAGCTGGCACATGACAAGAAGTCATGAATCGAGTTGGGTTTGGTCAAACCAGTCCCTGATTCATGCCATGAAGAATCACCACCACCCCTGCAATACAATAGGGCACCAATGCTCTAAGATTACGGTTATAGTTTATATACTATGTCAAACAATGGGTAGAATCAGATTTTAAAATTTTGAGCATAAACCCTGTGTTATAATCACTATATATCAATCATAAGATGCATTTCAGGAAACAAACCTGACATCAGCAAATGCCATCACCCAACCTCTATCGAGCAAGCTCAGACGGTCAGAGCACCAACTTGTATCCAGAGCTTCCCCATAAGCTCCATAACCATGCAATAGACCAGGGGACTCGCCTTTCTTCCAGGCATTTCGAGAGTACATGATTGTTAGAGGAACCTTAATGCCATCATGGGATATGACGTGTTTTCTTTCACAGCAATATTTAGAAGAGAAGTCTTCCCATCTTTCCACCCCAATAAAGTTCTTGTCATTTTTTACTTCACTACATTCAGAGACAAGATGCTCATGTGTATCAGCTGATTTTACTTCCTCTTGGTGCACTATTGAGAATGTCTGTTCTGACATGTTGTAATCCACAATAACATCAGGCATCTGGAAAGTTTGGAAAGGACACCGTGAAAAGAGAGTTTAGTATTTTATTTCTTTTGCATTTATTCTGTAAATAATCATAGAAGATGTCAATGAAAGCCCATACCACAGGAGATGAGAGAACCACACGGTAAACTGAGCTCATAAAATCATGGTTGGATCCTGGAGCAATGCTACATAAGTCTGTAGGTACAGGAAAATACCAGGGATTGAGATCTTCAACATCCAATCGCTTCTGCAAGTGAATCCAGGGGGGAAATGCAAAAATGAAAATACAATCATTTTCGTAACATCTTAAATAGTCTTTTCCCTTCTACCCAAACATGATGTAAGAACTGACTAGAAATCAACAAGATTCGAACAGTAAGGAGTTATCAAAGATAGGTAGAAGCTCCACACCTGTAAGCTAGAAGATTGGTCTTGTATGGGCAACTTAATGGAACACATCGTAGGCAGACTGTTTTTACTTACAGACAGCACTAGATGTTGATTGAAAATGTCCATATCATGGAAACTCACATCTTCACTCGGCAAGATGATGCGCTGTTGTTCATTCAACACTACGAGGGTTAGCAAGCAGCAGACAGTAAAAGTATGAAGCAATCAACCACAAAGGATGGTAATGTGTAAGAAACCTGCAAATCTGGTAAATGTATATGTTCCACTTTGCATGTGATCAGGTAGTAACTCCTGACTGATGAGGATTCCTTGTTCTCACTTAAAGGAGCATTAGTAAGAATATAGAAGGAATCATAGTGATGCTCAACAAAAACCTGAACCCCAGGCATACGTTTACAAATTCTGTCCAAACCGTCGAGAGGATAAGCTGCATCAATCACATATACCTGTAATTCGAAGTGAAGAACAGAACTATGAGCCTAATGCAGAGAGAGAAAGTTTTGGAATACAAGGGATGAAGTAAAAACTAAATTCCTTCCTCGGATGAAGATCTTGAGTTTGAGTTCACAGTTATGAACTTGCCATCTTTTGTGCTTGTTATGTCCACACAAAAGCTCGAGTCATTCTCTGTATAAACTGGCATGTCATTGGTCCCATCTGAACCTACTTCTGTGCATAGAACCCTACCAAACATGAAATAACTGATGAATAAGTTGGCTTCCTAGTTCCTCCAATGGAAAGAGCCATAAACAAGTGCTGTATTTACCTGTAGGGCCTCTGATTCTCATCTGATACAGTATAAAACAAAGTCCTTCCATCTCGAGCCCAAGCCAAGCTGACGACCCCCTCCACTTCCGACCTCTGAACAATTGATCCATCGCCCAGGTCCTTAATCCGAAGCAAGAACTGCTCACTGCCATTAACGTCAACGGTATATGCAATGAAATTGTGGTCTGGCGAAACTCGGCATGCCCCCACATGAACATAGCCTGTGATAGCCATTCCCAGAACAGATTCTCTCAATTCCCGGCACAGCTAAGGAAATGGTAGAAGAAATAAAGAAAGAAAGAAGCTTTAAGATTCAGGGTTACCATATTGCTCGGCAATTTCATTCCAGTCGAGCAAAATCTGCTCCTTCCTCTCAGAGTGTCCACTCGCAAAACAGAGCAGTTTGCTCACAAACCCAGAATCACTTGCCTCCGACCTTCTACACAGAACTGGGTACTCTTTTCCTTCTGGAATGTACTGGTAATATAACCTGGTTCACGTCACCATCAATAGTTATATTTAATCACAGCTGTCCAAACTTACAACAAAGGAAAAGGATGGAAAAAACAGAGAGTTTGAAATTCACCAGGGTCCCCAGCGCTCGGGAGGAGTAGAAACCTTGGCGGGGAGTCGACTTCGCATCTCGCGAACCAGAGTCCGCTGCAGCTGCTCCGTGTCGACCATGAAATCGGCGGCGTAGGTGTTCTCCCTACGAAGGTGGTCGATGAAATCCGGGTCGGCGGTTTTCCGCATCCAATGATATGGGTCCTGCCAGGTTCGCCCGTGGGCAGAGGCGGCGAAGGGGACTTTTGTCGCCGCCGGAGGAGATTCCGACGGTAGCGAAAAGGAGGTTGATGGTGGTGACGGCTGGCCTCGCCGGCAGACGGAGGAGAATAGGAAAGAGTGGACTATCTGTACACGACGGAGGGTTGAGACCCTAGAAGTTAAGAGGAAGGGACGGGCCATAGCCATTGTATGGCGACCAAAGTCCGAAAGTGAAGACAGAAGAGTTCAGAGTTGGTAGTTGAGACCCTTTTTCTGGTAAAGAAAGGAAAGGCAAACTACGGGTTTTTTGGCTATACAATTTGCTGCCATTCAACGGGAAAATACCACTGGTTTCTCATTAAAGAGATAAACTGAATTCAACGGTTCTGTACAGGGTAAAACGATAGCAAAAAGAGCTTGAAACGACCAACGAATTCTACTCTGCAAATTTTTTAAGGTAATCAACCGTCTGCAACATTTTCCCAAGTTTCTACTAGTTTTGCGTGTTACATGAACTTGCCGCTCTTCTTTTCAGTTCTTTACAGAAGCTGCAGTTCTGCACTTTTGATCCTAGCTTGAAGTTGTAGCATCTGCTGCCTTCTTGAGCTCCTTGAGATCATCTTCAATGTCCTGCAATTTACAATATCAGGAGCATGTGTTAATTGGCAATGCAAATAATGAAACTTGATGAGAGCTGACCATTTTCTGCAAATCCATGAATCTCACAAACGTTTGCTAGGGAGAACTTACTGAATTATCAATCTTGTCGAAATCATCTTCAAAGTTGCCATCAGCATCGTCACCCATATCTGAAGATGGGGGAGATGGTTCAAAAAAAGTTTGGGTTAGAAACATGGAATAGATTACAGAAGAATCCCCAAGGCAAAAGCAACTATGAATTTTGCACTAAAAAAGATGGTACCTGCTCCTCCATCACTATCTTCGAGATCGCCCAATAAAAATGTATCCAAGTCCTGTTCTGTTGACACATTCGACTTCTTACTTTCCAGGCTCCTTTCTGCACCTTCTGGTACAGATGGATTTGCAGCTGCAGCTTGCTTGATTTTCTCATCTTTTATCTGCTCCTCAGCTTTGCGCTTTAACTCTTCCTTATACTCTTGTTCGTACCTGGGTTTCAATGAAAAATCAACTCAAACATCAGCAAGCGTTTGGAGTTCAAGAGCCTGGAGTGTTCCAGAAGTGAAGGATTCAAAAAGTTATAAGGACGCGTAACAAAATGCAGCAGATCATTCAGAGACGTACGGTCCAACATGAGTGCTGACTAGTGTGAAATAAATCCTCCAGAACCTCCTTTCTTTCATTACACGTGGGCATAAATCGTATCTCAATTTCGAGATTTGCTGCAAAGGACAGGAGCAAATTGAGGATATCAGTGATAACGAGGAAGAAAAACATGTTGAACACCGCACCGCCAATACCATGAAAATATCAGCATGACTTGTGAGCTTCACCCTAGGAATTCTATATGAATGTTCTCAATTCACCAGTGATGTATATAGTCAACCTATGAATACAGATTCATATTGAATTTGATATTTCATTACTATCTCCCTATTCCTCAACTACAAAAGCAGAACTCGACATACAACAAGCAGCGTATAGTTCTCAGGCACTTGCAATATTACATTTTCAGTAGACAGTCTTTCCTGCTAGCATTCCTCTCTACTGTTTATACATTCCTCGAAGCCAATGGCACTCCCTTTCCTCACTTTTTGTGCATTTTGATAAACAATAGGAATCCAGTATCCACAATCCAAATCAGGACTAATAAACTACAATATGCAGATGGCCGGAAGACAGAACAACTTAATAGAACAACTAAGAGAGGCATGTATCATCTTAAGGCCCATCTCCGATTATCAATTCAAGAAAATCCACAAAACATCCATCAAATGCAGAAACCAAAATGTCAGGCAAAAAAGATGCATGGTTGGTTCCTAAAGTCGACAGTGGATATCAGTGAAAGGAAAATTAGAAACGAAGAAGATCATGCAATTCGAAGTTTTCACAATGCAGTCCCATTCTTCCGCAGTAGAGTATTGACAAGGGAAATCGAAACCATGATTAAGGCAAAATTTACAACGAAATCACCTTAACTGTAGAGAGAACCACAGTGGCGTGCCTCTCCTGCCACTCATTAAGATCCTTCCGCACGTTCGATTCATTGGCCGGCACATCAGCCGGAGCAGGATCATCTTATATACACACAATCAAACCAAAACAAAATTGAAAGGGAAAAATTGTCAGACGCCTTGCAGAAACAACACTAGAAACAGTGAGCACTCAGCAACATTTCCCAAAAAAAATAAAAAAAAACCTCACCTTGAACGGGAAAGTTCTGGAATGTGCTGAACGTCAGTCCCTTGACGAAATCTCTCAAATCGTCCGTGATTCCAAACTTCCGGAGCTCCTCTTCGGAGACGACGGCAGCGGCGGAGGAGGAAGAAGAAGGGGATGAAGAAGACGCGACTTCGGAGCCGCCGTTGACAATCGAGAGGGAAGAGAGTTGGGAAGGGATGATGTCGGAGAAGGACTTGATCTGGATCTGGTCGGCTTGCTTGAGCGCGGCGACTTTGAACTCGTCGGCCTTCTTGGAGGCCTCGATGGCGAGCTCTTTCGACTTTTTGGCGGTCTCGGCGACTAGATCGGCGATCTTGTTGGAGGAAGAGGTTATGGTCTGAGACTTCTTCGCGGCTTCCTCCGCGAACAGCTTCGCTCTCTTCCAGAGATCTTCCATTTTCCCCCCTCTCTTTGCACTTTCTTTCTTCTTCTGCGGATTCTTTTCTTCTGCTACTTGCCTTAGCCCGAGACTGCAAGTTTCCGCTATCCGCTTTCAATGGCGCTGATTGGACTGGGCAGTACGTCGTCGTCCTGTTGTCGGTGAAGGTAAGTTAATCTGGACGGCTAAACGCAGCGGCGGATCCAGGGGGCCGCCCCGGGTCACGGCCCAGTAATTTCCGATTTTTGGTATTCGTTTTAGTGTTTTTCACGTTACGGCCCATCCTTCTCCGCCTTTTTTGAAATGTGGCCCAGTGCTCTCCCTCGTCCTGGATCCGCCGCTGGCTAAACGTTGCCCTAGTTTTACTATTATCGTCATGATTTAAAATGTAATATGACTAAATTGTCTTTCTTAATCAATTCAAATTCAATAAACAAAAATTCCCCTAAAATTTCTAATCCGCCTTTAACATCGCCGCCACCGCTATTCTCTGTTCATTGCCGGATGAGGACTCACATCATCCTCTCCAGGCACCGGTCCCAGCGAAGAAGACCAAAGTCTCCGACTTTGCCAGAATTTGAACCGACTCCTTGTTCATCAAATCCGCCGTCGCCATCTACAACCGCGACTCCCCTTTCATCGCCGTCGTGAACTTCACTGGTTGTGAACTTCCAGCTTCAAGTCGCCGTCAGTGACTTCCGTTGCCAATCGCCCCCTCCAGCTACAGCTCTGCCTCCTGAAACACAAGTCACCGCCGCCATCTCTCTGTCTCCATCCCGTCGCCGTCTCCATCAATCAGCACTGAACGAAGCTAAGCACCCAAATTTGACTCAGATCTGGCGTCGCCTTTTCTCTTCGAAGTCTCCCGCTCCCGCCAACAATCGTTGTCTCCATCTCCTAGCCGTCCGTCGTCGCCCCATTGTCGTTGAATCGGAATTGTCCGATTCAGAAATGAATCAAATTGAGGTAGCCGAGAAAGAAAAGAATTATACTGCGGGATTAGTTTAGAGCGTCAGGGCGATTAGGGCCCAATTCACAATAAAAAGGGATAGAAGTAAATTTAAACCTTTAGATTAGGGCGATGAGGGAGAGATTTAGCAACCCCCAAGGTAATTGGTAGAAAATGATACGTGGATGGTTACCTTTAGATTAATCTTTGTTTGTTAAATTAGTATATTGTGATTAATATATTAATTATATTATATTATAGCTTATTACTCTATCATTTGGCCTGACGTAGCCCCTAAATTTGATATTCTGACTTATATTACCCATTAGCATATCCGCGACAATGGTCGGAGGTAGGCCTAAAATACTATAGTAATATGGTGGAAAGTAATTATCCATTGCATTACAAAAGAAACAGTAAAACATAAACATTAAAATGGACAATCCAAAGCAAGCCATTAGCCCTAAACCAAACTACTATTGTCAAATACCATGATGCCTCTAGAGTGAACATGAAAAAATCAAAGTAATGCTTCCTTGGCTCCAATTTCCGGCGGTGATAATGGAAGCCACCAAGTGATTTCATAAAGAAAACCCAATATGGATTGTCCTTTAGCCAAAAACCACAGATACAAACAAAAGAAACATGCGAGCAGTATATACATAGAAACACCAACAGATAACAACTCTTCTCAATACTCCTACCACTATGAAATCCTACCAAATCAACACTCCTAATCACTAAACACACAAATGACTTACATGCCTATTATTTATATCTCTTTAATTTTTATACATCAATCGTCATGTAACATCTCCATTATCACGATTCTTATCCTTCTCAACAGCAAACACACTGATTGGTCCTCTCTTACTCATACTTTGTAGCAGCTACATGGCATTTTACATCAGTGTACATTAATCCAAACAACTATTCCTTGATGCAACTTATGAGGTATTATCACTTCAGTCATAATATGAATTTACATGAAAGGAAAGAAATGATCATTATATCAGCCTTGTAAAATTTAGAGTACCAATGGCGATTCCTCTCTTCTCCTTGGTGGCTTTATCAATCAAATGGGATTGACAGCTACCTCTACTAAAGCATTTTATCTAGTTAAAGTATGGTCTTTTGTATAAACTATTTCTGCCTTACCCATTTTTGCATCGCAACTCCAAGAGCTAACTTGTTGGAGTTCTCCTCTAGGTAAACAACTTGTATCAACATCATGCATGACAACAAAAAATTATCTGGTCGAGATACTATCACGATCTGGTGCTGCTCTGAAGAAGCCTAAAGCATTTCTCAGGTATCGTCAACCCCCAATTAATGTGACACGGCTTATTGCTCTCTTACAGTCTAAATTAAAGAGGAAACTCATGGTTAGTTTGTTTCATGGCTCAACTTGACAATATCTTACAGGAGATGTCCGGTCGGTCGAGTATAGACATGTTTATATTTCAGCACGATATACTACAAACACAGAGAGCTTGGTTTCTCCTTCCCATGACAACATATGCTCACCAAGTAATTATTCCTTGTAGAAAGAAGAATATCAAGCCACCTTGTATATGCTCCAATTATCACTATCACTTCTGCTTTTTATATTGTAGTAATTAGAACTCCACTTTTAATTAAACCAAAAGTATAGCTATGTCTCTTTAATCAAACATAAAGTCGACCTAAAAGATCAATAAAAACAAATGATTAAGAGACCACACATTATTGTCAAAGAAACTAAATACCCCACAAGTTAGCTCTCTAAGCAAGAATATCGAAGACATCACAGCTTCATCATTATCAATTGATACTTTCACTAATGTTTCGGCTTTTGCTCAGTTATGCAACTGAATACTCGTCGTACTCTCTTGAGAAAAATGGAGAGCTGAAATTCTATTTCTGTTAGCATTGAGCTATGAACTATATAACCTAAAAAAATCATTAAGTTGATTATATTGGTTTAAAGTTGATTATGATAATCAAAGGCCATTTTCAAGAACTCATCAAAATAGTTATGACCCATGGCAGTGATGGCACAAAACTTGGAAACTTTGAAGAAACAGGTGTAGTGGAATTTAGTAGAGTTTTCTGACCTGGTTTCTAGTAAATGCAATAGCTTCAATCGACAAGAGGTTACCTCCCCTTAAACACATCTCTAAGCTTTAGTTCACCATCAATCAATAATGCTCGACACACAACCCTTGACCTGAACCCAAATGAGCGGTCGTCATTTCAATAATTTTTTAGAACAAAATCAAATCCATATATGGGTCCTCAATCCAAGCATAAAACCAAATCAGGAGCAGTAGCTAAGGCTTTCCACGATTCAACGAATGAGAGCCCTAATTGCATGATGGGGAAACAAATACAATAAAATGAATGTAGTGAAAGAAGCTAATGAAATATGCTAATGTTCTCATCGATTGGGACTAATACAATTACCTAGACCATGCACGGAATTGAATTTACTCGACATCATAATTGATAGACTACTTTGTGGGTGGCATTTCTGTAATACAAACACAGACAATGACACAAAGGACGCAAGGAAGATCAAGGCATAGCAAGGCAGAGAATCGCTGGCACAAGTGAATCTGGTCAGGACTCGATTCAAGCATTGATACCATTGGATTGAGGGTGAGTTGTCCAATTCTCGTCGGCTAAGTAGCTTATGATGCTACGGAGGAGTTTTGCCCACTATTCGGGTGGTGCATGTCCGCCGGCAAACAATGGCAGTAGTGGGTTGATGGTGAGTTTTACACCTTTCTTCGACATGAGATTAGGATGGTCAGGAGGCGGTTAGACGGTTTTAGGGTCTAGTGGGATGATTTGGAGAGACAGCGCAGGTACATCGTTTAGTGGGCAAGGGCATAATTTGGGCCCGTTAAGCGATTTTTGCATCCGCGGGGAAAAATGAACAACACCCATCCTTTCCTTGTTACCCCTCCGAAAATTGCTCTGGATGCAGGGATTTTGAAATGGAGAAAGTAACTTTCCCATTCACTATTATATTAGGTGTAGATAGATACATAACATGTATAAAGCGGCTCATTCTACAGTGTAAACATTAAGACTATGTTAAGAATTCTGCATCATTTTGCACATCCAATATTGCAATTCGATATGCATGATTTGAAGTAATGACATTTCGGTTCCGATATCAAAATTATATTCCTTTTATCAGAAAACATATATTGAATTAATTATTAAAATCAAATTAGAATAATTAAAATATGAAAATAGAAGTATCAAATACCAAAAATATATTTACGGGATAGTTACTGGGTTAGCTAATCATGGTGGGAAAATCTTATGAATTTTCATATTTTAGTTTGTATGTTTTTAATTTCAAAAGATCAAACAAATTTGTTTTGTGTAGCTGGTTATGTAGCTTGTCTTTTTGTGAAGAGTCGAAGATTCAAATCCAATTACTAATGTATTTTTCCTGTAATTAAGAAATTAATAAATGAATTTAAATAAGAATCTACCCTTTCTACTCTCACTCTGGATTCAGGACATTTGAAATGGGGGAAACACTTTTTTCGTTTCATTATTATATTAGGTGTAGATGGTTCAAGTTATCGTACTTTACGCGTAAGCTTACTTTACCATATGTCCGACGAGTTTTGTTATTTATATCACGAATTAACTCTTTGTTATGATGAAATCGTCAACTTTACAAGAGAATTACTGAATTGAGTGCTCCTAGAGGCATGATATCGTGCCCTAACCTTTAATGGGTGAACCCTAGTCTCAAATTCTCTAACCTAAACAACAAAATTCATTTATTTTTCAAATGAAAATCAACGGTTCTGATTCGTTGAAATTATCAAACTACAAATCATAGGTGTGAACGTAGGCGTATGCTATATATATATGTACACCGCTCTTGCTAACGTTCAAAATGATTACTTTAAACGTCATAAGTATAGTTATATGCATTCTAATAATTAAGTTTCTACCTATCCACAACACCAAGATAAAAAAAAAGTCATAAATGCACCCAGTATTCAATTTTGACAACCTGCTGAAATACTACATTTGAACCAACTACCACTATGTCACAAATAATAAGTATACCTCTAAATCATACATAAAATATTTCAAACATAACAAATATTAAGATTAAATTAATTATTATAAAGAGTAAAAATCATATAATGATGTTAGTTATAACTCATTTATATGTTAATGATTGATCAACGCACCCAAAAATGGAGAAATGAACATCACATTAAACCCAATATCGTCTCATTATTGTGGGTCCAT